TAATTCTTTTGAGATGAGGAGATTATTTCCTAGAAAATTTTGAACAAATTTCCAAAACTAGAATACTAAAAGTGGAAAATGCTGATGGAGGATCTTGCAAATAATATTCACTTGGAAATGTTGAATAAAGGGGCTCTTTAGTACAAAGTTGGTTTCCTCTGGTGTGCTTTTTGACCTCAGCTAAATACTTGAAATACATATAGAGCCTTATCTCTTATTGATATATATATAATATGTGCATGTAAAAAATTTCTATCATGTCAGCAAATTTTCAACCATTATATACTTAGGAACTTCTTTTCTTAAATGTCTTTTCATTCAGTCTATGGTGTTAGACTCTAATGACTTCTAGTTGAATATCAATGATTTCCCTGTTCTACATTGGGTTATACACATTTTATATTTGTAATAGTTTATGCAATGAAGCTGGGGAAATATAAGGTTCTAACAGCACCGGAAATGAAATTTTCATTTAATGAAATTTTTATTTCTATTTTATTTTATTGGCTTTTTTGAGACAGAGTCTTGCTATGTAGTCCAGACTGGCCTTGAATCTCTCCATAGCCCAGCCTGGCCTAGCACTCTATTCTTCTGCCTTAGCCTCCCAAGTGCTGGGATTACAGATGAGTACTACCATGCTCAACTTTAGATGACAAAATTTAAAATTTAAACTTCTGACTAATCTTACAATCATCCAGCAACTAAATGAAATATCTCTGACTTGAAAATAATGTGAAACAAATGTAGCAAAGGTAAAAGACTATTTATAGACATTTTAACTTTTGAGATGCATTGTAGATCTGCTGTTTATTCTTCTTTTCTCTCAGAGCCCTAGTTTTAAAAAATAGGATATACTTAATTTCTTAACTGACTTTGGTTTATAGTTAAGTCTAAAAAATTACATCAATTCTGATATGAGAAGCAATATAGCATTGTGATTAAGTCCAGAGTTGGGCACAAATCCTGGCTCTTACCAATTCCCAGCTAGGATATTTTGCCAAATTAATTATCCTGAGCATTAATTTATTCATAAATAAAGAAACTAATTATTACTTGCCATGTCACTAAAATGCCAAACATTATTATACATATATATTTAAAAATAATTAGATATATAGATATATATCCCCAATCCTTTTTTTTTTTTTTTTTTT